GACCCACCTAAAAGCCAGATGAGTAACATGAGCATCTGGAACCCAAGTGCTGCCACAGAGATGGCAGGTAGTTACAAGAGAGTCCCTGGAGCTTGTAGATGAGCCAGTCTGGCATACGTAGTAACAAAACAATAAGAACATGTATACACACACACACACACACACACACACACACACACACACACACACACACACTCACACTCACACTCACACTCACACTAATGCTCTGTTTTCTTTTATAAGGTGTTCATATTCATTATTCCAGCAATCTGTAAATATATTTGCTTTGGAATAGGTGACAAACTTGTAACCCTAAATTTTACTCCACTTCTAGAAAATTGAATGAAGACACTGAGGTTATTGATAAACAATATAGAAAGATGACTTCGTATTTAGCACACCAGATTGATTTCTTAGAAACCCATAAAAATCTTCAACAGTTCTCATGTTTTCTTCTCTGCTACATAAGCATCTCTTTTTTGTTACTAGAGTTCCTGAGTGTTTTCGAGGGACAGCTACACAGCTGAAAAGGAATATAGCCCTGTATGAAGCCCAAGTCCTCCCCTGTTAAATAACTGGCTCTGAGAACATGAGCAAGTTAGTCACTTGCTGATTTTGTACCCATGTCTGGATGGTACCTCTGAATGCCAATGATGGAGGAAGCTTGTTTTGGTTTTTCACCTTGAGGAGTTTACAGTGAAGGGGTAATGGTGTACAGTCAAGAGGCACTTGGAAATGATGCTGATCTGACCACATGGGCAGAGTGCTGCAGCTTCCTTGCCTTGTGGGTATTCAGTGAAGCTTAAGAGTGTCCACTGAGCCACTGACCAACAGCCTCTATATGGTGAAATTGGTTAGGGCGAGGATTATGAAACTCAGGAAACAAGGTGGAGAGGATAAATTACAAAGGGCCTGATGCACCTGGCAGTGTATTGCAGGCATTTGAAGTGTTGATGCTGTGCTTACACTACCTGCGTTTGAATTTCACTTCCATCACAGCCCTCCACGCCTCTGGGAGAGCCTGATGTCTGAAGAGGTGTTCCTTCACTGTAACGTGCGGTGGTGAGAGCACTTTGCCATACAGTTCCTTTGAGAATTAAACAAGTATGCATTGTAGAATTGATGAGGTGCCTGATCAGGTCGAGACACTTGCCATAAAGCCTGACAACCCGAGTGTGATCCCTGGGATCCACATGATGCAAAGAGAGAACTAGTTCCTCAAGTTGTCTGTCCTGTGACTTCTGTATAAGTCTCATGGTGTGTTTGTACATGCACATGTTGGTGAACACACAAAAGAAGGAAAGAGGGAGGGACAGAGGGAGAGAGAGAATGTTTTGAAGTGTCTACACTGTAAGGACTAGTCCTTGATATACAAAGTGCTCAATGCTATTTGCCACTGCTTTTTGATTTTTAATCACAAGGGCTTTCAGATTTTAGATGTAAAATACAATAGCTGATAGAATTTGAAAGGTGGATTGCATGACTCTAGCCAGAGGAAAAGCAAGGTAACATTACAGTTTAAAAAAAAAAAAAAAGACATAGTAATGTACAGTAAATGAAATTCAGTAGCTCAGCCTGTCTTACTAGCACATCCAGCCTGCTTCATTTACCACAGGGTGTTTTTCCCTTAGTATGGTATTTCTCTACAGAAATGTCCCTTTAATTATTGCTTGTCAAAGATTTTCACGGACAATATCAAATGACCAGTTAAGAAGTCTGTGTGCTGGTTAATTTGCATTACAAAATAAAGAATGCTAATTCTTAGCCATTGTAAAAATTTAAATGGTTATAGAAGTTTATCACATAAGTTTCAAACTTTTGTTCTAGTCCATATGCCTGAAGTAGCTATCCCTTCACATTGACTGAGAGGTAAAAGAAACATAATTAGGAGTATTACAGTAATTACGTAGGACAAGTGCTTAACTTAGTAAAATCATTTACTGTGGGTATTATTTGAGTGAACCGCTGTCTGTTTATTTAGTCTGTAGTAGTGAGGGGGTTAAACACTTAATCTAAATGAGTCTGTGGTTGGAGACTGTCTGAACCACGTATAAACAGAGCCAGGCTTGGTGTGGCTAGGTTTAGGTATGAGATTTTATAAACAGATCCTCTTCTTTTTTTTATAATAGACTAACTAATTTGCTCTTTGGTTTATGAATTTTATTTTGCTTATGAAAACTAAGATGATTTGGGTGGCACTTTGGTTACACTGAATAACCACAATAATCTGTCTTTAAAATTTTTTAGTGCCTCAGGTTCTTCAAAGCTGCACAGCATTCATCGAGAGATATGGCATCGTGGATGGCATATATCGTCTCTCAGGAGTTGCCTCCAATATCCAGAGACTTCGGTAAAACTCGATGACATTTTTCTTTTTTCTTATTTAATTCAGCAAATTAAAATTATTTAAAAAAACAGTAACATTGGTAACCATAGTTACCAATAACATGGTTGAGATAAACTAGGAAAGAATATCCATATTATTCTCATCTAAATGACATTTCATTATCTGTAGTGTCCCAGAACTGTGCACACTAACCTCCTCAGTACTTCAGTACCATTTTATCTCTTTAAAATGTTGAAAGAAGGCCGGTGAGTTGGCTGAGCAGGTAAAGGCACTTGCTGCTGAGCACTGTGACCTGAGTTCTAAGCTGGAGCCTGCATGGAGGAAGGAGAGACTGCATTCCCAAATTGTCTTCTGTACACATGTGCCTTAGCGTGGTTGTCAAAATCCAAATGTAATATATGAACTATGATGATTTGAAGAAAGTAGCAAGTCTCTGAGGTAAAGAGAACCTTTGGGGCAGAGGTTATTTCTCTTTATTATTAAATATGTGTCCTTAATTTCCACATGGATAGCTGACAAAAGATAATCTCTTGCTACTGTTGAAGTCCAAATACTGGTTTGTTACATGTAATAATAATTGGAGGAAACAGCAGCTCTGAAATAGAGGTGAACATTTTGGGTACTGGCATTGTGTGCTGTGGTGTATATTTTCTTTGCTTCATTAAAGTAACCCTGTCTTGTCTCTTGTCTGGGCTAGTCATGAATTTGATTCTGAGCATGTCCCCGACCTGACGAAAGAACCTTACGTTCAAGACATCCATTCTGTGGGCTCCCTCTGTAAGCTGTACTTCCGAGAGCTCCCAAATCCTCTGCTTACCTACCAGCTGTATGAGAAATTCTCTGTGAGTACTGGATACATCATCTCAAGGTCTCTGTGTAGTTTTGCTGTATTTTTATTCAAAATGTGTTTTGGTTTAATCTCCTGTGAGAATTAATTTTGTGCTTTAAAAAAAAAAAAAGACCACAAAACAAAAAATCAAAAACCTCTTTGAACAAATAGTAGCAGTCAGGTGAACTGGGTCTTTGAAGTTTTCACAGTGCTGTCCTTTCATGTCTGGCTTTGAGCCACTAGCTTAGCATGTGTGCCATTGCGAACCCTCACACTTCGTAACAGTGGCAACAGAGTGCCAGCGTGTGGGAGCAGTGTGCCCTCTTGATGCTGTGTTTTTACCTTGACTTGTAGATCAGTCTCAGAGTGAGATTGAAAGTCGGGAACTCTCATTTGGACAAGCAAAACTAACTGGGTTGTTGGGTTGTGTCTATTACAGGATGCCGTTTCAGCAGCAACAGATGAAGAGCGATTGATAAAAATCCACGATGTCATCCAGCAGCTCCCCCCACCACACTACAGGTAAGTTGTGACCTGGCCGATGGATACTAGGAGCCAGAGAAGTGCGTGTTAGGCACAACTGGATCTCTGGCGACTCAGATAAATTACTATTTCTAATAATAGGAACTATAGTTCTGTCTCTTGGCCACTGTCTTACTGGTTTTAATCTCTATATAGTTAGGGATCCAGAGATGCTGTAATGGCTGATAGGTAGTGTACATGGGGTGTGTGTGTGTGTGTGTGTGTGTGTGTGTGTGTGTGTGTGTGTGTCTAGTTTAATAAGTTGATCATGTTTTATTTCAAAAAGTATTCTGTTCAGTTATGTAATCTCAATATGCATAGACTTGTTTAAATGAATAAGATGAACAAGGACATTACAGCTGAGGGGCCCCTCACTGTGAACGCACGTCAGCTGCCCAGGTACCGTTCCTGGTGCTGCTGGAACTGCTCAGGCCACCTTTAGTCTGTAATGCCTTGTTTTTATGCTTTGAAATGTTTAGACCCTTGCCTTTTAGTTCTCTGCTAAAAGTAGACTAGCATAACTTTAAAGTATCATTTGGTGTGGAAATTTCATTTGAATGATGTTTAAACTTAGTAAGTCACCAAAGAAGTAAGTGTGTGTGTGTGTGTGTGTGTGTGTGTGTGTGTGTGTGTGTGTGCCAGCGCGCGCGCACGCGCGCTTGCTGTTTTCTATTCTGCTGTCAGAAAGTTACAGGCCAATGATCTCCACACTGCCATATAGTGTCTATTTCAGTTAGCATGTTGTATTTCATTTTCCAGAACACTGGAGTTCCTGATGAGACACTTGTCTCTTCTAGCGGACTATTGTTCCATCACCAATATGCATGCAAAAAACCTTGCCATTGTCTGGGCACCAAACCTGCTGAGGTAATTTATATTTTATTATGAACTTCAGAGAATGCATTTTCTTGAATTAAAAAAAAGAAACTTTGTATCATTGTTATAAAAAAAATAACAAGTAAAGCAAACTGTTATTTTATTACCGTCTCCCTAAAGCAGCCTGTAGGCATTAGTTAAGGGACTGTAATGTAAAAGTATGGTTTCTTCCACTGGTGTCTCTAAAACCTCTGGGCTGAAGAATTGTGGGTTAGGAGACCTCCCTTCGCAGTGCTGATGGGACTGTTATTGCCCCCACAGATCAAAGCAGATAGAGTCGGCCTGCTTCAGTGGGACAGCAGCTTTCATGGAAGTGAGAATTCAGTCTGTGGTTGTTGAGTTCATCCTCAATCATGTAGATGTGCTCTTCAGTGGCAAAATCAGCGCTGTCATGCAGGAAGGGGCAGGTATGACTCGGATGGCTTTTCTTCATTGCAGGAACAAGATTCTGAAGGAGTGGAGGACTTTGCAGTTATCACGTCATCTAATGCTGTGTGACAGTGGTAGATGACAGCTGACTGCAGTCTGTTACAAACCCAACAAATTGACAATTACTCAGTGTGTATATAAGGAATACTATATATCGGACTGTTATAAATTCGTTATGCATCAAAGCTATCTTGCCTCAGGGCTGGGGAGATGGTTCAGCTGTTAAGAGAACTGGCTCTTCTTCCAGAGTAACCCACACAGTGGTTCATAACCATCTGCAACTCCAGTTCAAGGGGATCCAACACCCCCTTGAGGCTTCCATGGGTACTGCATGCCAACTAGTACATGGTCACATACAGGCAAAATGCCTATACAGAAAAGATAATTAAAAAGATGTTAAACATCGAAAAAAATCACCCTCCTTATTAGTATATATAAAGGTATGAGATTTAGTAGAAAAAGAAAAAACCCTCCTAAGACTAAAAATGTTGAGTGATCACCTTTACCTGGTACCTTTTAAGAAGGGAAAATAGATGATTATAGAATTTCACTGTGCTCTGGAATGTCACCTTCTGTTTTTTATTAAATATAAAACACTGTGATATTTGCCATTGAGAGACCTTGAAGAGAAGTTGAAACGCTGTCACTCAGTGGAGAGTGAAGGTGGACAGAGTGATACACACAAACACTGACATTATTCCTGTTCCTTCCAAAGCCTCTCTGTCGCGGCCCAAGTCCCTGCTGGTCTCTTCTCCGTCTACCAAGCTGCTGACATTGGAGGAAGCCCAGGCCAGAACGCAGGCTCAGGTCACTTCTCCCATCGTGACTGAAAATAAGTACATTGAAGTAGGAGAGGGGCCTGCTGCCCTTCAAGGGAAGTTCCATACCATAATTGAGTTCCCACTTGAAAGGTAAAATACACTGAGTCTTATTTTAAAATATGGATTCATAGCTATAGAGAGTAGTTTGCTTTAAATTTCCTATTTTATTATTATATTAAAATCTGGGGCAGTTCTAGAAAAACATTTACTTGGATATAAATGATACCAAACCCTTTCTAAGGACTGATAAAAATTATTCTTGCAAAACTTTATAACGTAATGTGATTTTTTTTTTTTAAAGTTAGTTGTACACAGGAAATCATTAATAAAGTGATGCACTTTCACTTTGTGGCGTTGGCTTTTTTCTCTGAGAAATTTATTTAGGAATTTAAAAAAAGTTGTGCTGACACAACTTATTCAGAACGTAGTGAATGGGCAGGGACTTCTCTGACACTGGTTCCTTATCCAGCTCCAACAGACTCCTGACCGTAACATCAGAGTCCCTGGTATCTGAGACCTAAGGCCCTCCTGCCCAGCTCAGATGCTCCTGGTCAGGAACGGGGCCTACTGTGCAGTTCTCATGAGTGCAGGAGGAGCCCCCCCCCCCAGGAGCTGTGAACTCCACCCAGCACAAAGTTATAAACTTGCCTGAGGCTTTTGTTTTGTCCTTAGTTTTCAGTTGCGTCCCTCTGAGCTGACGCCCTCACTGCTCGCTTCCCTAGGGAAATGCTAATCACAGGGTGTGAATCCCTTGCTAGGTCTGTAGGAAGATGAATGTGCAGGGCATTTTTTATGTGTCTGCTACCCTTCTGGCTTCTGCTCATGACTGTAAGGATCTTTTTTCCCTAGATGAGGTAACATGAATAAAACCTCAGAATTTGTTTTCGTTGTTGTGTGTTCCTCCACCTTCCTTTTCTTTCTGTGACTAAAAAGCAAAAAGCTGGTACATGGTATTATTACTTTATCGTTCTTGAGTTAACCTTGAGCACCTTGCTTTCATGTTTTAGTCCTGATTTACTCAAAAATGTCTTTACTGGGTAGCAATTCACAAAGTAGACATTAGGATGTAGACATCTTTGGGTCTGATGAAATCTTCATTTCCTCACACAATTTCACAGTATTAAGGAAATTAGTTTAACTTCTTAGGTCTTTATTAAATCAGCCTCTTGTGTGGTTGTCTGATTTTGTAGGTCATTCTAGCTCTACACTGCCTGGCACTCCACATCTGTCAGATTCTTAACCCTCCTCCCATCTGCCCTTGTTCTCTCTACTCATGTCAGCTTTTCTACACTGTTTTCTTTATGGGGGCTTAATATCATTGTCTCATTTTCACTTTTTTCAGATTGTGAGGTACAAGTGACCTTGGTGACGCTGTTGCTCATGTTACTGTCCACATGTTTAGCTTCCATGTTATTCAGGACTGCACTGTACAGTGCACCACAGGGAAGGAAGAAGGCTTGTTTATTGTTCCCGTTGGGCCTCTCCAGGCTATTGTGTTCTTTCTACCAGGTGTCCATTTCTTGTTCTGTAGGAAAAACAGAGCCCCAGTTATGTTAATACTGACAAACTGTTTTCTGTGTTGCAGAAAGAGGCCTCAGAATAAGATGAAAAAGTCTCCTGTGGGCAGCTGGCGCTCCTTTTTCAATCTGGGGAAGTCATCTTCGGTCTCTAAACGCAAGCTGCAGCGTAATGAGAGTGAGCCCTCGGAGATGAAGGCCATGGCTTTGAAAGGTGAGCACTCTGCCACCCTGTCCTGCTGCAGCGGACGGCCTGGGGACTCTGGGCACCTGCTGCTGTCCTCGTGGCTGCCTCCTCTGGGTGTTCCTTCCCCATGCCATCA